TGAAGAGATAACTGTTCAGCGTTTTTACAGGACACCAGTAGCATGTTCCAGTGTGGCTGATGAGCCAGAGCACTGGGGCGCCTGACTGACAAAATAAATCACTTGCTCACCACTGCAGAGGGGTTCAATCCTCGGTTGCACTGCTCCTCGCTCCGCCGTACGTTTCAACAAACACAGCAGGGCCTGGAAATCAAGCACACACTCAAAGAAGTTAGTCAGCTATTCTAAACCATATATAATCATGTTCGTTTCACTTCAGGAGGACATTCAAGTTTATCTTCTCCTCCTCCTCTTCCTCCTCCTCCTCCTCCTCGAGATATCACACATTGAAACACTTAGCACTGGGCACAGGTTCATTGTGGGTGCCTGTGTGTTTATATGTGTCTGTCTGCAAAAAAAAAAAAAAAAAGCTTGTGTTCTTCCAATATAAATATTTAGGTTTGGCTCACCATGTTTTTGCAGTGTTTTCCAGTATGCCTGCTGCTGTTTTTCTCTCTTTCCTCATCCATCCATCCATCCATCCATCCATCCACCCATGAGTCTTTCACTGTAATAAATACACCAACAGCAGACAATAACTATCTATCCTATTGATATTTTCTGATGCTCAAGAATACCCGTGATGTTTGAAAGCACAGTGAAAAATGAGCCTATATTTTCAGTGATGTTCAGAAAAACACTGTCAAAGTACCTGCAATTTAATATGGCCAAAAAAGCACTGATTGGACCTTGGAAGTTGTTAAAACCATATCCTTGTTAACAGATTACTGCTCGGTGATCTTGGAAGCCGCGTCTCTCTTCTCCTGAGAATTTAATGGCATACTTGCTTAATGGTTTTTGCCACACTTAAATTCATTTCCTTTGTAGCTGACTATGGTTCACTGATGTAGTTAGCCATTCATTGCCAGCAGCTTCTTTTTATCATCTCAGTTGTTGTCGCACTTAGCTTGACACTTAAGGCTATAATTACAATCACATACCTTGTGGTGCTTTGTTGCACAATGGGCTAATGAGCAATTCACTGTCAGTAGTTTTCCTGACATAAAGAGCATCTTCGCTTATCGTGTCTCAGCTGTTTAGCTCATGGCTCTGCCTTTTAGCCACGCTCTATTATGGGTGGCTTTTTAACCACAGTCATGTGCTTAGTCTTATACCACCAATACATTTTACTGGATTACAGAAAACTCTCCTTCACTGTCTACTAGACATTAAAACTTGTGGTCCAGTGCAGCACTTACCATAAAACCAGCTATTATTGGTAGCTCGCTGTACAATGGGCTAATTAAGCATGTAGTCTGGAAAGGGTTTCCTGCTGCAAAGAACTCATTTTCCCACCCACTCATCTTCAGAAGAGGGAGTCATAATTAGTCTAGCATTTTAAGCTAGACACAAATCAAACCTGCACTTTTGGTTTTTTAAGTACAGTTGTCTGATTTGCCATTCAGGTCACAGGCATGATTT